TGGGGTTCAGTTTCACTTGGGCCTCCTCTAGCCCCAGGAGTTTTTATACAGTACACATTTTCCACATGTAATTAAGTAATGGAGAGTGAGTTGTTCTACATGACATTTAATTTTCAATAGTGGGGGAAGGTATGACAAGAGCTGCAGGCAAGATCATTAATCTCCTTGGATCCCTGCACTGCGAAACACAGCAATTCGTTCTTTCCTGTATTAATATAGCTCTCCTCCTGTACCTAAAATTATAGTGCTTGTGTAGCGGGGATAATGTCGAATGGGAAAATCCACAGAATTGAATGTGTGCTACATAGTAAGAACTCAAGATTGTAAAATACACCTGTATTATCCACTGTAGAATAATTTAGTATGCCAAAGTCCAGATGTGCTATAGACACAAGTATGTGATTACCGGATTGTCCAAAATCTAATGTGGGGACAAAGGGGAGGAAAAAGTGATTATGTAAGTCATGTATACATAGCAGCAACTTGCTAATTTTCACTGATGACTCAGAGACCTCCTGTGAATTACAGATCAGTTACTATATGAATAAATACAAGTGTTAAAAGAATATGATAAGGACGTGATCACACAAATGTACATTACTATAGACTAAAGGACCCCATTAATTAAAATGTTGCCTGCAGCACATTTTAACAGCTTTCTGTGATTACTGCTAATCATACTGCCAAATCTGCGGCCAGTTCCCATTTTTATCTCGATTGTCAATAAATCTGGAAAAGAGCTGCTGAGGTATAGAAGCCAACAATATCTCTATGATGGAAATGCACAGAGAATCAATAATTTCAACTAAGGAAGGAAGTATCAGCAAATAGAAGCACTAACTATAAAGAAACAATTTCTAAACATCAGTGTTTAAAGTAACATTATACAGCTTAAGTTATGCAGCTTAAAAGAAAAGTGTAATTGCACCTGCTATGCTGAGATGATTTAAGTGTTAACTTCCTGAAACCTGATAGCAAACCAGTATCTAACTGCTTCAGGATTTGGATCCAAAATAGGCACAACTAGGGTTCTCATACCAATAGTCTGAAAGAGGTAACCTATAGGCAGAGGTGTATCTAAAAGAGTGATGAACTAGATAATCAGCTTGAAGGAGAGAGGATGATATGTTGGACAGCACCTAAAAGCGCAGGTTACGGGCGCCTGGGTGGCTCGGTCGGTTAAGTGTCTGCCTTCAGCTCAGGTCATGATCTCAGGGTCCTGGGATCGAGCCCTGCTTTGGGCTCCCTGCTCAGCGGAAAGCCTGCTTCTCTCTCTCCCTCTGCCTGCCATTCACCCTGCTTGTGCTCTCTCCCTCTGTCAAATAAGTGGAATCTTTAAAAAATAAAATAAATAAAATGCACAGGTTACTACACATAAATACATCACCAATCTCCCACTATAACCCACTGGTGATGTACAAAGCAGAGGAGCATAAAATATTTTCTTTTTTTGATTTCCTTAAGTGTTTTAAATTCTGACACTATTTGATGTTACTCACCCCAGTAAAATTATATTTTATTGACATGGGGATTAATTAGATTTCTCTTTATACATTCTTTCATTAAATGGTATTCTACTCCTCGTTAAGAGTATCAGGTCATCATTTAAAAGGAGGAGGAGGAGGGGTGCCTGTCTGGCTCAGTTGGTGGAGCATGCAGCTCTTGGGCTGTCCGGGCCCTGAGCTCAAGCCCCATGTGGGGTGTAGAGCTTTAAAAAAAAAAGGGGGGGAGGAGGGGGAGAAGCAGTGGTGGACACAGAACTAAAAGACATGTTTTAGGCAGGCTATGCCCATGTCTCTCATTCTAACATTTATTGGAAATGGTTTTATATAGTATCTGTAGCTATCTCTTATAGTGATTTTTAAAAATTTTTATTTAAATTCTAGTTAGTTAACATACAGTGCAATATTGGTTTCAGGAGAATTCAGTGATTTATCACTTATATACAATATCCAGTGTTCTATCTCTTCTAGTGTTTAATCATTATTATGTTAATTAAAATTCTTAAACTGTGAATGTGCTTCACTTAAAAAAAATATTCAAGATTCTGGAATGAGACAAAATCTAATGGTTCATCTTTTTCCTCCTCTTTCCTTCTCCCTAACTTCTTTTACCTCCTTTCTCCCTCTCCCTCCCTTTTCCTGCCACCATCATCATCATCTTCATCATCACAGCGCAAACATTGCTGAGCCCACATCACCAGGCAATTTATACATATTAAGACACTAGACAATCTATTAGACAGCTATATATATATATATATATATATTTACACACTTGACTTTTTTAAAAAAGAAAAGATTTATTCATTTGAGAGCGAGTGAGCACGTGAGCAGTGGGAGGGGCAGAGGGAGAGAGAGAATCCTCAAGTAGACCCCCACTGAGCTCAGAGCCCGACGTGGGGATTGATCCCAGGACCCTAAGATCACGACTTGAGCTGAAATCAAGAGCTGACCGCTTAACTGACTGAGCCACCCAGGCACCCTGAGACAGCTATATTACCCGCATACTGCAGTCAGGAAACTGAACAAGCTCACACACTTGGGGTATTCTAGAGCCAGTTTTCATGAGATAGGGTGGATCTCAGGCTTGCTTAGAAAAGAATGTCACTTAGGTAAGAGCTCTCAGGCTCTCAGTCAGATGAGTAGTTCCTTCCCTTATGGAAACTGAAGCATTAATAAAATGTTGGCACACAAATTACCAGATACATATCTACTGAATCAAACAAAAGGTTGTTAGCAGCGCGTACATCTGTCTTGATTCAATTTAAACTCGTTTTCCTTTACACAGTCTCAAAGTGGATGACAAGAGACTATTCAAAAATCACACCTACATCTCTTTTTCTCCATACAAAGGAAGCTAGAGAAACTTTTCCCAACTTAGATTTGGGAAAGTACTGAGGAGAGGGACTTATGTATGAGAAATTTTGTAAAATAATGAATTATTTTTTATCTATATGTATCTTTTTTCTATGTATCTTTAAGTACACAAAATAAATCAAACCAACTTACTATGATTGTTGCCTTTGGAGAATAATCTGGAATTGCTTAGAAGGAGCTGAAAGGAAATTTATTCAATAAAGCTTTCTGAATGCCGACTATGTGTTTAGGCACTACAATTTAATGACCATGCAAGAAAGGTTCATAATTCGATTACATATTTTGAATGTACATTGATACTTCTACTAAATTGCTTAACATCCCTTCCAGTAAATACATATTCTGTGGCATCCTCAATCATACTTACACTATTAATTTACTGAACAAATTATTTCCTTGATTCTGATCTCCTCTGAATGATCAAAATTGAAATCATCAGACACTAAATTAATGGGGCTTCATTACTATTATTAAAATTCTCCTCAGCTTTCTCTTCTGTATTCTAAATAATTTCAAATCATGTAACCTTTCCTTCTTGAAAGAGGAGGGTTCTATTTCCCAATTACTTAATTGCATTAATGGTTTCCTTTGGGTCCCATTCGATTTTCTTTTTGCTCTTTAAATTGGGATGACCCAGTATGGGTGAAGAGGTGACAGCAACATCAAGGACAGCACCTGCAGCAGTTGCCCCCACATGCCGAGCATGAAGCACAGATACTGGTTGAGTGCTGTGGGTGCCTGCTCATGGAACCCTCACATGACTCTCTGCAAAGCATTCAAGCCGGCATGCATTTCTGTCAATGGACACCTTCATCGCTTTGAGTGGTTGACCTTTCCTCAAGTTTGTTCATGTTTTCAGCATCTAACTCTAATTTCATTACTTCTGGTGACAGGAAGGGCAGAAAAACACAAAAAGGAGATTGGTGCCTAACAGAGGACTTCAAGGTAGGTGAGCCAGAGGACCTCAAGGTGAGCGAGCCAGAGGAGCTTGACTTAACACACAAAGATACAGAAGAAGGAGAAAGGATTCTCCCTTTGGAAACAAGAATAAAAACCTGGAAATCCAGGAAGTGCCACTGAGTGGGAGAAGAGGTTACTAATGTAGGATTTCTTTAGGAGCAAAGCAGCAACAACACCCTGTAGCTGAAGTGATGGCATGGGAAAAGGTATGTCAATCACCTACATTAGTGCCCATATTTGGGAATAAAACTACCCTGAATCCCAGGGGTCCCTGGGAATGGATAGGTCTTAATGACAGGTAACCAGTAACAGTAGGAAGAAGAATGATCATCACTGTCACAAACTACCAGCCAACACTCTTTCAGCCTTTATGTGAGAGTGTGTTCAACATTTCAAATTTTTGACCTATCACAATGAATGAGGTAGATGCTTTATTATTCTCATTTTACAGCGGATACCTGAGACTCAGAAGGAAAAGAAACAGAGTGACCATTAATATACAGGGTCAGTTATATCACTTAGTGATAATTCAGATTCATCAGTCACTTCAATCCAGTAAAAGGAATCAAACATTCCATTGCTGATGAGGCAACAACAGCTACCACCAATGGGAATTCCCAGTTCTGACTTACTTATACCAAAAGGATGCAGTGAGGTGGCAGGGAGGGTAAGGGAAAAAGTGGAACCCCAAACATACCACGCGACTCTAGACAGCAAAGCTCACATCTGCTCCCCTCTGGATTTCTCACCAGCACTCTTACTATGAAGTTCCTAAAATGTTCCTGGGTTCTGTTTTCCTGCTTATTCCTTGATGAAGATATTAATGAGTCAGCAAATATACCACATGGTGGTGACAGGAGGAAGGGAAGCTAGAAGGTTCTATTGAGGGGACGATCAGTCCAGGAAGGGAAGAAATTTAAAAAACTGAATACAAATACTAGCCTCAACCCCTAAGTCCATCATATGAAATGTAAATAACAAGAAAACCTCATAATTGAAACAATCTATACTTCCCTTAAAGTGACAGTTAAAAAAGGAAAAGGTATTTTTAGGATACGGTGATTTTGTTAGACAAACCAAAGATAAGATAGTCTTACAAAATAATATCATCTTCAGAAGGGATCTTAGATTTTAAAAAACCAGATATGTATCTATCTTTACCTGATGAAAACCAGCTTGACCTTTGACGGGGCGGTCTTAATAATGGCAGATGCATTTTGGTGACTTCTTCCATACAGGATCTGGTTGTTTATCTATTTGGGAAAAAATAAAATGCACTTGTAAAAATGCAATATGTATACTTTGTATAAAAATATACATGTATTTATTTGTACATTCATGCAAATCGATGGGTATATACTTGGAATTAAACAATGAAGTCCATTCATTTTTAAGTGGGTCCGTGTAGGACTCTATAATGCTAAAAATCTTAATAGTCTTTGTAGTATGGATTCAAATACTAATTCTAAACAGCTATTAACATCTCTTAAATTCAGTTTTGAATGCAGTTAATAAAGAATATACAGTCCTTGACTCTTCTGCTAAACTTTAAGAGGGCAATAGTTGAGTAAGTGCAAAAACTTTACGGCAGATCTATTTCCTACCGCTTTTCCAGATTTCTAAAAGATGTAGAAAACAGACCAAGCTGTGGTATTCACGAGTTCTGGAGGGCCCATTAAACATGAGTCTGAAAATGTGTCAATGTTATTACATAGCATAAATTTTGTTACTCCAGAGGAGGTAAATATTATATACCCATTTTAAATCAAATTTTAGATCAATTGCAGAGAAACATTTTACTATACACAATCAATGAGCCATCTGCTCTTATCCAAGATGTGGTGGGATTTTTTTTTTTTTTAAGATTTTATTTATTTATTTGAGAGAGAGAGAATGAGAGATAGAGAGCACGCACGAGAGGGAAGAGGGTCAGAGGGAGAAGCAGACTCCCTGCTGAGCAGGGAGCCCGATGTGGGACTCGATCCCGGGACTCCAGGATCATGACCTGAGCCGAAAGCAGTTGCTTAACCAACTGAGCCACCCAGGCGCCCAATGTGGTGGGATTTTCAACTTGATTGAATTCACCCAAATATGATCTAAAAACATTTACACTCTAAATTTTTTTATTTCAGATTTTTCCACTGAAAAACTATGCTATAATCAATCTTTTATTTCATCCAACTGATAATAGCTCACACAGTTTTGGCTTTTCTCCTCCTGTCTCTTTAATAAGTAGTTAATGATCTATACTGTCCCAATGTAACTGAGGCCTTGAGATTTTCTACTGTTTAAGGGATAGTATAGTACACTATGTAAGGAATAGTAAAAAGGGATTTCCACTTTTTGTACTTTGCATTTGTTTGTCCTTGATGTCTCTGAAATTTTGTGTTTGAAGATACACCTGGAAAAGATTTTTGTCATAGCCATCATAATGAAAATTGTATGGAAATGAATACTTCAAAAGATGGAGTTGTCTGAAATGAAGCTCATCCATCATCTTGACGGGGTAAAGCGGGTATGCACCTCAAAGCCTGCTGCAGAGATTAAACTGGAACCACCTCCTCACTATGCCCCTCATTCTACCAGCTTTTGTATTCACCAAGATAATCAACCTCCCAGAAACCCACTATTGCCACACTATTTCTCTGTGCCTCAGTTTTCTAAGATGTATTTCTTTATTTGAGAGAGGGAGAGAAAGTGCGCATGCATGCATGAGTATGGTGGGGAGGGGCAGAAGGAAGGAGGGAGAGAATCCCTCAAGCAGACTCCATGCTGAGCGCGGAGCCTCATATAGGGCTCTATCCCAGGAGATCATGACCTGAGCTGAAACCAAGAGTCGGTGCTCAACTGACTGAGCCACCCAGGCGCCCTTAAGTTTTCTCTTCTTGAAAAGGAATCTGGGCACCTACTTCATAAAACTGTTGTGAGAATTACATGATAGTGCCTTCAAATTTTATTTATAATAATTCTAATACATAAAGAATTTTTAATTTGGGGATGTTCAAAATTACTCATCTTTTCTGTTAAGGCTTGTACCTTTTTAATATCATGTGTTTATTTTTTTTAAAGATTTTATTTATTTATTTGACAGAGAGACAGCACAAGCAGGGGGCGTGGGAGAGGCAGAAGGAGAAACAGTCTCCCTGCTCAGCAGGGAACCCAATGTGGGACTTGACCCCAGGACCCTGGGATCATGACCCCAGCGGAAGGCAGCTGCCTGACTGAGCCACCCAGGTGCCCCTAATATTATTTATTTATTTATTTATTTAAGATTTTATTTATTTATTTGAGAGAGAGAGAATGAGAGACAGAGAGCACAAGAGGGAAGAGGGTCAGAGGGAGAAGCAGACACCCCGCTGAGCACGGAGCCCGATATGGGACTCGATCCCAGGACTCCAGGATCATGACCTGAGCCGAAGGCAGTCACTTAACCAACTGAGCCACCCAGGCGCCCCCCTAATATATTTAAAGATGTGCCCGCCCTCTGGATGAATACAATGATGGACCCGTGCCATTATACATCTGTCTGATACCACAGAATGTACACCACCAAGAGGGAACCCCGATGTAAGCTATGGACTTGGGTGATGATGATGTGTCAGTGCACCAGCTGTAACAAACATACCACTCTGGAGGGGGATGTTGGTAATCTAAAAGGAACATATGGGAAATCTCTGTATCTTCCTCTCAATTTCACTGCCCTTTATATATATAAATATATGTTTTTGAAGTGCCCACCCTTTAAATTATATTTTCTCCTAATACTTTCATGGTTTTGGCTCATATTTATATCTTCTTACCTTAGTTATAAGGCAAAAAATAGTTAAATAAGTCATGTAATTATTAAGAGCAGTGTGAAATAGAGTACTTAATGACATAGAAAATGTCCAAATGTACTAAGCAGCAAAAACCTAGTTATAAAATAGTATGTCTGTCATGATCACTTTGTTTTGCAAACCATACTTCTCAATCTCTTTCATTTATAATAAACGAGGAACTTTTATTTATTTATGATTTCATTTTCATTTATTTGACAGAGAGTATGAACCGAGGGGAAGGGCAGAGGCAGAGGGAGAAGCAGACTCCCCACTGAGTGGGGAGCCTGACACAGGCCCGATCCCAGGACCCTGAGATCATGACCTGAGCTGAAGGCAGATGCCTAACTGACTGAGCCATCTAGGCACCTCATAAATAAGGAACTTTAAATCACAATTTTTTTTTTAAGATTTTTAAAAAAATTTTTATTTATTTATTTGAGAGAGCACAAGCGATGCGGGACTCGATCCCAGGACTCTGGGATTATGACCTGAGCCGCTTAACCGACTGAGCCACCCAGCACCACATAAATAAGGAACTTTAAATCACAATTTTAAAATGAGATGACATGTGGAATATGCCTGATTCAATGTCTGGCGTTCAGGTAATTATTGGCGCATGTCTTCCCCACTGTGTCTGACCGGTGCTTTCAGAAAGCAGAGCTATCAAATCTTCCTGTCTTTGAATTCTGCGGCACTGGATTTAAAAATGTTCTCCTATTGCACTTACAGCTCACCTTACGTGGTATAGTCAATCCCTGTTAGGTGGTGAGCATCAGTGCAGGCACAGGGCATTTACTGAACTGAGCTCGACTTCCTAAGGGCAGGCACTGGGTCCCCCACCAGGTACTCGCCAGTCTGCCCTGCGAAGCTTGCTCACAGCGGTGCTCGGGAGGATGTATTGGATCGCAGAGCCCCGAACGGAAGCGGTGCTTCCATTCATCAACCCCTAGTCAGCTTTCTCTGAGGTGGACTCCAGCCTTCAAAGGGACTGAGGTGTTTCCTTTTTAAGGTCGTTTTTATTAGCAAAAGCTTGAATATACAGAAAATTAAGCTGTTTCATGTTTATGGATAGGCCTGCTTTTTAGCTGTGATCTTCCATTTGGATAGAATAAAATGTACGGTCCTACTATTCTAAGAGGGGAAAATTACAGCCCAAATGAAGAAAGCAGGTCATTAATTTTAATTTATCTAAGAGTAAATCTACAGTTAGGCCTTCCTGGTGCTGTTTGTGAATACTCTGGGGCTCTGGCTATAGAAAGGTAGAAGAGCTTGCTTGCTGTGGATGTTTTTTCCAGTGCCAACAACCGTGCCATTTATGGGAATGGTAGCTGCTCCCGCTGGTGCTTGGAGGCCTCTGGAGAAAAGCTGCTATGCAGTGCGAGACTGGGAACACAACAAGAAACTCGAGAGAGGGAAACCTGATGTCACTGGAGTAAATCAGAAAGGAAAATGCAGATCTCGGGATTAAAAAAATCTAAGACCAAGCCTCTCTTCTGACCTCATAAAGAACACATTCACAGCCTCTGAGTTCCAAGACAGTAAGATCTCTTTTGTGTTTTTGTAGCTCTTACTTAATATAAAATAATTTCACCATTTCAATGAAAGGTACATATAGCTTCCAACTGCATAGGCAGTTTTTCTATTTCTTCATCACTAAAGGAAACACACTCCAGAGAAAATTCAGTAGGTAATTAAAAAGAATATGATGTATTTTACACACAATTAACTTTAGACTGTCACTTTTTCTATTTCTGAGAAGCTGCTGTTCTCTGAGGGCACTATTCTTTAACCACCAGATGTAGGACATCCTCTAAGTATAGCATAGGCAATAAAGAAAGCACTCTACACCTCCTGCAAGTCCTTCAGGTTAATTCTAATTAACAATAGTACCATTTATCCAGTGCTTGCTCTGTGCTGAACATTATGCTAAGCTCTTTAGGCACAGTATCTCATTTATTTTTATTTTTTTTAAAGATTTTATTTATTTGACAGTGAGATAGAGAGAGAGAGCACAAGTAGGCAGAGAGGCAGGCAGAGGGAGAGGAAGCAGACTCTCCACTGAGCAGGGAGCCCGACATGGGGCTCGATCCCAGGACCCTGGGATCATGACCTGAGCTGAAGGCAGCTGCTTAATCAACTGAGCCACCCAGGCGCCCCAAAGTATCTCATCTAAATCTCAGAGCAACTGGGGTATTATGGAATTCCAAGAGTTGAAGCAATTTGCCCTCGGTGATTTAGCTATTTGTTTAAAAGCTCATAATCCTAAGGCACACCTAGAGGTCCCATCTGTATGGTGCACATAAAAATCAGATGATTTTGAAAGTCATCTTTATAAAGATGTCTGTTAAATGAACTCTTGAGTGTAAACAGGAGGATGCTGGTGACCTACTATCTTAGGTCCTAGAACTCTGAGATACGCAAGTCAGAATCAAAGC